TGTGTAGGGTACGTTGGTATATTTGTGTGTGCGAATGTGGCATGATACAACTTGGCGCGCACTTAGATTAGGTCGTTTTTATAAAGTTATTGTAGTGAGTACCAATGTCGAGTGTTATGTGTGAAACAGCTTGTACGCTGAACCTTGACCTAATTTATTAGTGGCATATTTAACCACAGTACAAAAAAACATTCCACTCCCGTTGAAGGTAACACTGTAGAATGAATGAAATGAACAACAAATCATGCTGATTGATTTCATCCTCTCCGCCCTTCCTTCCCTCCTTTTTTCTTTTCCAATAATTCAATGTCTTATATTATTGCCGATAAAAAATGGTCTAAGAAGGAACTGGGAGTTAATAAATGTGTAGTAACTAAAACAAGTCATTGTGTGCTCTTAGAAAATTGGACTCTCAGTACAAAGCTTGATAACATTTAAAGTTCTTACATGAAGATTTATAGTGTGCAGGGACTCTGTGTGATGCAAAAACATTTTTAACTCCAAGACACAAAGCTTTATGGTGTAGCCATATTAGAGGCCACACTAGACTTGTTTTGTGTATGGTGTACTTGATTGTTGCTTTGAATCTATTTTCACTGAAAGGGAAAATAAAATTAAGTGAAATAAAAAAAAAAAAAACTATTTATTGATGCTATTGTTTGAACCGCCAATCACACATGTCTTGTTACATTTCATCACTGATTTCCAAATCCATAGCCACTGTTTTTCGTTTCTCTATGTCAATCACTGGAATTGTTTGCTACAGTCATTATGATTGGCTGAAACAGTGGGTGCCTACATGTACTGGTTAACATTGCTCATACGGAAATCCAAAAGCCAATAATATTTTCTCGTCATTGAGCCAATAACAATCGTGCAACTTAATTTGTTTAAACGACGAGACTGTGTGCGTGTAATAGAATCTTAGGTGAATAACATTTTTTTTTTAGGATTTATTATGATAAATGTTCAATTTGAGTATCATTTTTAGTGGGCATTTCCAGTCTTACATGTGAGTATTCAGTAATTGTTTTTGAAAACTTGTGATGAAAATAATTTAAAAAAATTGTCAGCTGTGCAAGCAAGATGTTTTTAGCATAGAAAAATGTTGATGGGTCCCCTGTCTCGGCGATGAAAGCTGTCTCTCAAGAAACCATGTGTTGTCTGAATGACGAGACTTTGAAAAATGAAACACATTGTTAAATGCAAATCTCAGACTGATACTTAGTTCATGTGAAATGGTGTGTTGATTATTCTTATAACGTTTGAGTGTGTGTTTGAATTTATGAATGAGAAGGAAATCCCCTGTCCAGTCTGTGCCTGTGCATTGACAAATCCCCACTCAAATATTATATAGGATATGTTGATTACTTTGAGCTCCTCCTTAGGGACGACGTCAAAAGATCGATGTCGGATAAAAAACTTATTTCCTTTAGTTTGGGGGTGGGTGGTTTTGACCTCAAAAAGTTTCCATCCTACAAAAACGATTTTATTTTTTAATGAAGTCAAAAAAATCTTGGAGTATTTGTAGTTTGTTTGTTTTTTCTATCCAATCATGGACAGAAATAACCCGAAAAGGGAAA